AATAAGTCAATAATGAATAATCCATGTCAAAATTCAAGTAACAAGAAGAAAAAAAAATCTCATGGACAGCATTTACATCACATTCAAAACAGATAAGCATCAACGACTAGAAGCAAAAAGTACAAGTAGGATTATTTATACTGAAAAAAAATAGTTTAGACAGCACATTGCAAGAGGAAATTATTTTACGGAGACACATGTCATCTTCAACATGAGGCATAAAAAAGAAAGTTGAAGAAGGCCCCACATACGAGTACTCTCACCTTTACAAAATCCGGCACCCAGTAAGTCTGTTTGTTGGCTTCAAGCAGTTGATCTTTAAACTTCTCCACCTCAAGAAACCTAGAAGTACAATACCAAGTACACATATTGAATAGAAACAAAGAGAATGGAAACTGCACAACACCATGAACTGAATCCACCAAGAACAGAATAATTATGCTACAGCAATTATAATCGATAAGTAATCAACAGGAACCGGATCTACATACACAAGTAACACGACATAGGTACTAACTATAGAGACTTTCCTTTAGATTGCATGACAAGGCCCACATACCAGCTTAAACAGGCCTTGTGGATGAGAGGCTTATCGGATCTGCTGCCGAATGCTTTGATATGCTGAATTGTTCCAGACTTGAGAAACCTTCCTTTTGTCTGAAAATTTGATAATAGATGAATCCAGAGTGAGGGGAAAAGCATTGGGAGCGTTCATTATAAACAGGACCATGCAGAGAGGACCATTTGAAATCACAAGAATAGTTACTCAACATTATAGGAAAAAGCTGAGCTAACAGTTTCATGAATAGAACGTATACCTTCACCGCATCAACAATGTCAACCTCAACATCCTTGATAAAACGACCTTCGTATTCGGGAATTTTATCAGTAAAGCGTCCTCCACTATCAAGTGGGACAATTAGATCTTGTCCCTGCAAAAAGAAATATATGAGCTGGTTACTTATCACCCTACAACAGGAGGGCAAAGAAAAATGGGAAAAATAGCTGAACGCTTATAGTAAACCTGGCTGATAATTCCATTCTCTAAGCAGACCCGGAAATCATCTTCCCCAAACTGAGGAGCATAATGGACAATCCCAGTACCACATTGATCAGAGACAGAACTGTCAGCAACAACTCTGAAAGCGACATCAGAGAGCTCGACGAAGTATTCAAACATAGGCTGGTACCTGCAACGGACAGTGCATTAATTGATGTAGGATGAGTTGATTAAAAAAGTTAAGAGAACTCACTTAGTATTCACTAGGGAAAGTCCAGAAAATCTATCCAAGATATGATAGCAATCATGAGCTTGTAGGTTGGATTTTGGTAGAGAATTGGGCTTCTCGGCAGGAAGTTCAGACAACCGGCACTCAGCAACCAAATAGATGTTTCCAGAAAACTTGTTGCGGACCTGCAACAACAAGAATGCAGTGCTCATGAAGTGCCACATAAAAAAGGAATATGGCGCAAACAAAGGGCAAATGAAGCAGTCTGATCGATTATTAAAGTATACCTTGCTGAGTTAAAGAAGGGGGAAAAAAAGAAAATGAAAACAGACCTTAACATATGGAAGATCAGGATTGACACAAAGGGCAAGATTGCTGGGCAGGGTCCAAGGCGTGGTAGTCCAGGCTACAAAAGCAGCTCCTCGATGGGGACCAGTAATTATGGGAAAGGACACGATTATAGAAGGATCAGTGACAAATCTCTTGTCGGAGTCAGCTTCAAAGTTGGAAAGCGGAGTCTCCATGGTCGTGGAGTAAGGGGAAACCTGAATTAAGAGACAATAAAAATACAAAATTGAAGAAGATCTTGGATAATTTAATATATTCAAAGAAAAAAAGAAGTAAGAAAGAAAGAGTAGAATTGAACCTTGAAAGCTCTGTAGACAAGACCTTTATGATGTAACTGTGAGAACACCCACCAGACAGTCTCCATGAACTTAAAGTCCATGGTTTTATATCCATCTTTAAATGATCCAAAGGAACGGCCGCTCCTGATCACCACAGACTCCCACTGATCGACGCAATTAGTGACCAGAGCTCTGCACTCTTTGTTGTATGATTCGATACCCATGTCCACAACATCCTTCCTCGTCACGATATTTAACTTCTTACGAATCTCATTCTCCACAGGGACGCCGTGGCAATCGAACCCCAAAAGGATGTTTACATGGTTTCCATTCATACGCCTATAACGGCACACAATGTCCTTAATAGTCCCAGCTAGTATGTGGCCATAATGCGGCGAACCAGTAGCGAACGGAGGGCCGTCGTAAAATACAAATTCCGGTTTCCC